TGAGGCCACTGTTATTTTGTTGCTTCGTCTCCCCTGATCTGCTACTTTGTCCCTTAGCTTCCTTTTCCTTCTTCTTACCTTTGCCCTTTTACGTCTACCTTTCTCCCTTTTTCTCACCTACTTCCATTTGCTCCAATTCCACCCCTTCCCGTGATATTTTTTATCTGTCCCGTTCCCTTCTTCTTCCTTATCTTCTCTCTTCTTACCTCCTCTGTGTTTTACACATCGCCATTTCTCATATTTTCTGACATAACGTGCTACTGTTTATCATTGTCACTCTACCCATCGATCTCATCTTTTCCTCCCCTTACCCGACTTCCGCTTCATCTTCATTTTTTTCCTTCGAATCGCCATTTGTCATCTTTTACTTGTAGCCCCTTTACATCTACAACTGCTTTGGCTGCTCACCTTCTTTTCCCCCTCCACACTTTCCTCTATTTTCTTTCACTTTTCCGCATTATCTTCTATCTTACAATACCTTTCATCTTCCACTTTTTTGATTTCCTCTCTTTATCTCATTTTCTCTCCTCACCTTCAGTTCCCTCTTCGTCTTCTCCTGATTTACAACCTTTGGCCTTTTCTTCTTTTTCATCTCCTTTCATATCTCTTCTCTCTTTTCACAGCGCCTTTCTCTTTACTCCATTTTCTTCCTTTTGGTTTCGCTTTTTCTCACCGCATTCTTCCCCTGTTCGCTGTTCCCTTACTTTTCTCCGATTTTTTTACTCATAAGCCACTAGTTTCTCTTTCTTCTGTCAGCTGTCAAAATTATTGGTCGAAATTTCAAACCGGAATATCTCGAGAACGGTGCGTCGTAGATATATGCCTTCCGACCCCTCGTTGGAAAGGTCTCGACCGGCGCTATCGACGTAGAATCCTCCATAATCTCAAACAGTTCCAAGATCAAAAGTTACAGCCGTTTGAATTTTTTGTCGAAATTGGTTTTTTGCACATAACTTTTGATTGAGACGTCTAGTCGAAAAAGTACGAATCGTTTTGGATTCTACGCACCAAAATTAATAAGAAAAGGTTTTTTCCCTAGAAATTTTGGTGCAGTCGATTTTTGGTAAAAAGGAAGGTTATACACTGCCTTTTTTTTTGGCCCGAAAAAAAAATTGTCTCAAATCGACCGGAAAAAAATAATTTCTGATAGAATGTGGCATGTAGAATCCATAATTTCAAACAGTTCCAAGATCAAGCTACTAGATCAAAAGTTACAGCCCTTTGAATGTTTTGCCGAAATTGGTTTTTTGCCCATAACTTTTGATTGAGACGTCTAATCGAAAAAGTACGAATCGTTTTGGATTTTACGCACCAAAATTAATAAGAAAAAGTTTTTTCCCGAGAAATTTTGGTGCAGTTGATTTTTGGTAAAAAAGGAAGGTTATACACTGCTTTTTTTTTGGCCCGAAAAAAAAATTGTCTCAGATCGACCGGAAAAAAATAATTTCTGATAGAATGTGGCCTGTAGAATCCATAATTTCAAACAGTTCCAAGATCGAGCTACTAGATCAAAAGTTACAGCCCTTTGAATTTTTTGTCGAAATTGGTTTTTTGGTCGAAATTCTGACAGCGCCAATCGATAGCGCTGGTCGAGACCTTTCCAACGAGGGGTCGGTTTGAAATTTCGACCAAAAATTCTGACAAACCGTAATATCTCGAGAACGGTGCGTCGTAGATATGCCTTCCGACCTCTCGTTGGAAAGTCCCGACCAGCGCTATCGATTAGCGCTGTCAGAATTTCGACCAAAAATTCGAAGTTCACTTTTTGTTGAATATTGTGATAATTAGCGATTTATTTTAATACAGAAGTTCTCTTTGCGTCCTTCTTTCTATCTGTTTTGTCTTGTTACCCACTTTTCGCCTGTTCCCACACACCTCGCTACACACTATCTTCTTCCACCATCTGTCACAGTTTACTCCTCCTTTTTTATAAGCTACTCTCCGTCTCTTGCTGTCCTTCCCTGTCTTTTCCAACACCCCTCTTCTTCTGCGCCTCTTCCTCTTCTAGGTATTGTTAATTTTTTCGCTCCTTACTTTTCTCTATTTTCCTATCCTCTTCCCTCACACACCTTCCGCAACTTCATCTCTTTGTTTCACCTTCAGCTCTTCTTCATTTTCTTCATCCTTGCCTTTCTTTTCTTCACTTACCCTCACTGTGTTTTCTTCACAACTTTCGACATTTAACCGCATCTTTGTTTATCATGTTTCTCACCACGTTCGCTTCTTCTTCTTCCTCGTTCATGTTGCTTTCCTTATTTTCTGTTTCTATGCTTTCATCCCTTAACTTTTTTCGGTCTATCTTCATTTTCTTTTCCACTTCACCCCGATCCTCCATTTTCCTTCTTGCGCATTCTCTTCTTTTATTTTATTTTGTTTTTCTTCTTCTGTTCTTTACACTCTTTCCATTCCTTTTACTCCACCTGTTTCCTTCTTTAGTCTTGTTTAGGAAGGTAATGATATCGCTCGTCTACCTTCTTTATTTAACGTTTGTTCTTTGACGCTATTTCTTTCATGTCCATCTTTAGCCCTTTTTCAGTTCCAGTTTCTTCTCTTCATTTTCATTTTCGTTTATATTCCTTGCTTTCTCTTTCTAAATCTTTTTCTTTTGCTCACCACTATTTTGTTATTATTATTCCCCTTCTTTATCTTCGTTGATTTCCTTTCTCTTTTGTGCCCTTCTTTTTTATCTCGCCCTTTTCTCATTTTCACGCTTTTCATTAGTTATCTTTTTCTACCTATACCTTTTCTGTTTCCCTTGAGCTTTAGCCACATTGACCTTCTCCCCTTTTCCCTCTCTCTGTACTACTCTAAGCCGTATGTTTCAAATCTCACTCCGTGGGTTGCAGATTTTAGATACCTAGTGATCTTTACCACCGAGATTTTGAAATTTGAGTACTAATTTTCAGGATCCTTTGATTATGATTCGTGTTTTTCTCTTTCTTCTCTTAGTCGCCAAACTCGCGCCGTCATCTCTTCACCATTTTTCTCTCTCTTTAATTACTGTTTCCCTCTTCTTCACTAGACCTCTCTTGCCTCTTTCTCTTCTTCCACCATTTTCATTGTCTTTTCCACCTTTTCGTGTTTTTTGAAGTTCCTCATTCATTCCCTTTCTTCTCATCTTCTTTCTTAAGAACCCCTCTTTTCTTCTCTCTTCCCTACCTTCCCTTCATTTCTTTATTGTTCTCTCTTCTGTTCCCCACTTCCCTCTTATTCCTACATACTATCCTCTTCCACCATATGTCACAGTTTATTCTTCTTTCCTTTTTTATGAGATACTCTCCTCTTGTCGTCCTTCTCCTATTCTTCGTCGCATCTTCTTCTCGTCCCTCTCTCACTTTTTCCAAACTCATATTTTGCTCTACTCTTCTTCATCTGCTCAATCCTCGACTCCCTTCTCCCCATTTACTCACAATTTGCTTTCCCCAGCGCCTCAACTTCCACTTCGCACCTTTCGACATTTACCATGTTCCTCCCTACTTTCGTTTCAATTTTTTTAAAACCTCTCTCTACTTCGTCCTCTTTGTTTTCTTTATCTTCTGTTTATATTCTTCAATCCCTTAATTTTTTTCCGTTCTTCGTCTGGTGGACTCCTTTTCGTTTTTCCTTTTCAGCCAGCCAGTTACCCTCCTTTCCTTCTGACTCCCTTCCCACATTCCCCCTTTTCGTTCTACCTTTCTATTCCAATCGATTCTCCTACTACCATCATCTTCTCTAGCCGCCTTTTGTTCTTCTCCTCTTTGCACCTCTAACCCCTTTTTTGTTTTCCAGCTTCCTTCTCTCCTACATGTGGTCTATTCCCTTCCACGCTTTTCCCTGTTGATCCCTTTGCTTTTCGGGCCCCTGTTGCAGATTCTTCCCCCTTTCCACGCCCCTCTTTTCGCTTTTTCTCCTTTTACTCCCTGTTTTACATGGTTTCAGATCTTCTACTTCTTCCTCAGACGCTTTACCCATTTTCATTTTATGTTGTTCCCCTTTACCACCTCCGTCCTCTTTACCTCCTGATCATTCTTCCTCTTTTATCTCATTCCCATTTCATATTCAAACGTTTCCTCATCGCCCGCTATGCATCCTCCTTACTTTTCTAACCATTTTCTTAGTATTGACCTTTGCACTATTTTACATTTTTCCTGCACACTCTTCCACCTTTTCGGGTTTTGTTTTATTTGCCCTGCCCTTCCTCCTCTCACTCTTCCTTTTATGCAACATCTTCCTCTTTCTATTTTTCACACCTTCGACATCACACGATCCTTCACCACTCCTATCTCTTTTTTTCTCTCCCTCCCATCCTTCAATTTTTCTTTTCCACCTCTCCCCTTTCGTTCCGTTTTTATGCTTTTGTCGCCACTCTTCTTCTTTTCCCGCTTTCGCCAACCATACTCTGTTCGTTGCTTTCCCCTCTCTTTGTCTGACTTTCCCTTATTCTCCTGCGTTTTTTCGCCTTCCTATTATTCTTTTCCCTCTTCCCTTTTTCGTTGTCATTCTTTTCCCCTTTTTTTAAGATCTTTCTCATTTTCTTCACACTTCTCCTCTTGGACCTGTCATTCATGCGCTTAATTCCTGTTCTCCTTTGTTTTCTTCTCTTTTCCACTTCCTCCTAGGTTTTCCCTTCCTCTTCTCTAGTTATTTCCCACATTCCCTTCTTCATATTCCGCCTTTATTCGTTTGTTGTTACCAGAGGGCTTGATACTGCTAATCTGGACGCTTTTTTGGTTAAGGAACCAAAATGGGGATATGATTTATGTCTCTACCCCTTCTTTTTCTGCTCGTCTGTTCTTTTTTAGGGGAATTTTTCGAAAGGAAAAATTCCCCGTATCTGATGGTTTTTTTTCCGTCTGTTCCTCGTTTAACTCGGGAACAAAAAGTGATAGCGATGTCAAACTTGCACCAATCGATTTCTGCGAGTTCAAGGCTATTGAATATGAGCCGGATAAAAAGTCTGGTTCCCAAAGTGGCCCTGTCTGAAAAAGAGGCACGAGAATGTGGTTTAATTAAAGAAGAGCAACAATTAAAATGTTTATTAAATATTAGAGTCAAAATAAACTACAGTAGGTAGTAAATATTAATTTCGAGATTAAAAATCCTTTAAACATTGGAACTTGAAGTTTAATCGACATGCATTAAGAGAGCGCAAAAGGGAATAGAAGTAGTAGAGAGTGTGTTTTGAGTTCTTATATAAGAATAAGGCATTATATACAAATCTAAGAACGACAAAATAACTTACTGTAAGTACAAAAAAAAGATACCCCCTTCAAATTTACCCCAAACGTTAAAGCTGATAGCTACATAACATCGATACTCGTATATAAAATAGAGGGCATGTACCAACAACATCGCTGCTCTAAGGCACTCGGCAGAAGCTCTTTAAATAGAATACTTACGACAAAAATAAAGTTTGCAACCGAATTTTTGGTCCTTTTTCGGAAAATATGGTCCCTGCCACTTACAAGAAAAGCCTATCGTTAATAAATTCGAAGACGGTGTCTTTTGGTTAACGAATAAGGTAACATTGACTATGACGCTACGACACTTAAAAAAATGCTGAATATCAAAAACGGTGGCGGCTACTTTTCGATCGACCTCTGTTCACCTTGCGTCTCTTGAACGGACTCCAGTGACGTATCGACGGAAATGTGCTTGTCGCCGGGTAAAGTGTACGAGCCCGGCGCCGAATTTGAGCGTCCCGACTTGCCGATGTGCACGTGTCTGACGGACAGCTCCTTGTCCTGGGCCCTTCCTTCGCTTTTGTGCGAAAACGGATTCTAAGGATGACAGAGGTTAGGCGCGAAAGGCGCGAGATTACGTCGAACTCACCTGAAACGAATGCTGCTTGAGCATGTGCTTGATTAGAATCAGCGTGTCCAGTTTCGGTATCGATGTAATAACGCGCGCCACGTCCTCTTCGGTTATCTCCACCAGATGGCAGTTCTCCTCCTCGCTCGGGAGAGGACACGTGCCACCTTTCGTTACCCACGGATGCACCTGAAGGTGATTATTTTGATTATTCGATTATCAAAACATCGATTATTCGATTATCAAAACATCGATTATTCGATTATCAAAACATCGATTATTCGATTATCAAAAAATCGATTATCCGATTATCAAAAATCGTTTATTCGATTACAAAAAAAATCGATTATTCGATTATCCTATTATCAAAAAATCGATTATTCGATTATAAAAAAACGATTATCCGATTATCAAAAAATCGATTATTCGATTATCAAAAAATCGACTATTCGATTATCAAAAAATTGATCTTTCGATTATCAAAAAATCGACTATTCGATTATCAAAAAATCGATTATTTGATTATGAAAATTCAAAAAATCGATTATTCGATTATCAAAAAATCGATTATCCGATTATCAAAAATCGATTATCCGATTATCAAAAATCGATTATCCGATTATCAAAAATCGTTTATTCGATTACAAAAAAATCGAGTATTCGATTATCCGATTATTAAAAATCGATTATTCGATTATAAAAAAATCGATTATCCGATTATCAAAAAATCGATTATTCGATTATCAAAAGATCTACTATTCGATTATCAAAAAATGCTTACTCGATTATCAAAAAATCGACTATTCGATTATCAAAAAATTGATCTTTCGATTAACAAAAAATCGATTATTTGATTATGAAAATTAAAAAAATCGATTATTCGATTATCAAAAAATCGCTTATTCGATTATCAAAAAATCGCTTATTCGATTATAAAAAAATCGATTATTCGATTATCAAAAAATCGATTATTCGATTATCAAAAAATCGATTATTCGATTATCAAAAAATCGATTGTTCGATTATCAAAAATGGATTATCCGATTATCAAAAAATCGTTTATTCGATTACCAAAAAATCGACTATTCGATTATCAAAAAATCGATTATTCGATTATCAACAAGTCGATTGTCCGATTATCAAAAATGGATTATCCGATTATCAAAAAATCGTTTATTCGATTACCAAAAAATCGACTATTCGATTATCAAAAAATCGATTATTCGATTATCAACAAGTCGATTGTCCGATTATCAAAAATGGATTATCCGATTATCAAAAAATCGTTTATTCGATTACCAAAAAATCGACTATTCGATTATCAAAAAATCGATTATTCGATTATCAACAAGTCGATTGTCCGATTATCAAAAATGGATTATCCGATTATCAAAAAATCGTTTATTCGATTACCAAAAAATCGACTATTCGATTATCAAAAAATCGATTATTCGATTATCAACAAGTCGATTGTCCGATTATCAAAAATGGATTATCCGATTATCAAAAAATCGTTTATTCGATTACCAAAAAATCGATTATGCGATTATCAAAAAATCATTTATTCGATTACCAAAAAAATCGATTATTCGATTATGAGAAAATCGATTATTCGATTATAACAAAAATCGACTATTCGATAATCGATTATTTTGTTACTCCCGTTTGTCTGATATTCAGGTCTACAGGTTAAGAGGGTAGGTAACGATCGATACCTTAATTTCGGGCAGCGTAATCCTCTGCTTCGGATCCTTGACTAGCATACTTAGAATGAGGTTTCTTAAAGACGAAGATATGTGAGGGGTCGCCGGAAACTCGACGGGATGACTTTTGATCCGAGAATAAAGAGATATTATGTTCTCCTCGATGAACGGCGTTCTTCCGTACACGAGCGAGTATAACGTGACTCCCATCGACCAAATGTCTGCCGCCTGTAAAATACAAAATTGTTTTTAAGGCACGAGTGGCGCTTGTGGGAACTAATTTACTCGCGGCACAATTTTGAAACGCGGCACTAAAACCCTTCCACGGCACAAATCAGCATTGGCGAAAGGACAACACATCGTCAACTTCTAAAGTGCTTCAGTAACAGTTAGCCCTACAACCCAGTATAAACACGGCACTAAAAACCTAAACGGCACGAGCGCTAAATGTGCCGTTAAATAAAAATCGGTAGGCACGGGTCAGATTTGTGCGGTAGATGTACTGCTATAACATCTTGACTTGAATCATTCAAGCCTTTAGTGTCAAATTCGTGCCTTTTTAGTCAGCTTTTTTAGTGTTAAAAAATACGGCACAATCTCAAAAGTTCAGAGATCAGACAGAAATCTACAAGTAAAGGTCAGATTGGTGCCGTGGATATACTGCAGTAACATTGTGAACATTTATTTTCATTTTGAAAAACAACAATGTGCCTGATTGTGCCTTTAAACAGAAATGGTGAAATTAGTGCCGTAGAGATTTTTAGAGTAGCTCTCGTACTGTGTTTGTGTAGAAATGTGCGACAGACCGCAATACTACACAAACCGGACTCTGAAATGTGTACTGATTTGTGCCGTAAAATGAAAATCGACAGCAGATTAGTGCAAAATTCGTGCCGTGTTAGTGTGTTTTGGTTTTGAAAAAATATGGCACACGTCGCTTTGCACAAATAAAAAACAGAATTTAACAGAAATGGTAAAATTGGTGGCATAGAGATTTTTAGAGTAATTCTCGTGCTGTTGTGCCGTAAAATGAAAACTAGCAGATAAAGGTTAGATTTGTGCCGAGAGATGTAGTGCAGTAACATCGTGGAAATCTTTTTTTGGAAAATTTTGAATTTTACGAGCGGCATCTTTTTATTTATGTAAAAAGTTGACCAGCGTTTAGAGAAAAATTTGTGCCCTTGCAGGTCGAAAGTCGGCGACACTACAGAAACTGGATTCTGAAACGTGCTCTAATTTGTGCCGATAAATGAAAATGAAAAAAGTTTGACATGCATTTTTAAAGCGTTTAGTGCAAAATTCGTGCCGTTTTAGTGCGTTTTGTTTGTGTGCAAAAATACGACACACAAGCAAACCTACAAAAACCAGAACCTGCCCTTAAACAAAAATGGTAAAATTAGTGCCGTAGATATTTTTAGTGCAAAATTAGTACTCTTTGGGTGAAAATGTTTGAGTGAAAAAATACGGTAGACATGAAAAACTACAAAACACAGAACCTGCAATGTGCACTGATCTGTGCTCTTAAACAGGAATGGTCAAATTAGTGCCGTAGAGATTTTTGCTTTTTCTTCTTTAGTGTGATTTGTTCGGATGGAAAAATGCGTCTGACATATGCCTATGAAATTTGTGCTGAATTGTGTGGCAAAATAAAAATCGACAGGTAAGGGTTAAATTTGTGCCGTAGAGGTACTGCAGTAACATCGTGGACATTTTTTGGACGTTTAGAGTTAAAAGTGGTCCTCTTTTAATTTGCGTGGGAAAATAAAAAGTGCCATAATTTGTGCCGTTACATGAAAATTCACATGTAATGGTTGGATTTGTGCCGTAGACACAAAGATGGTGCCCTTTTAGACTGAAAATCTGGCATTGACGAGCATTTAGAGCAAAATTTGTGCCCTCTTAATCCGAAAATCCGGGACACACGCCAAACGACAGAAATGTTCACTAATTTGTGCCGTAGAGGTACTGCTATAACATCTTGACTTGAACTTTTCAAGTATTTAGTGCAAAATTCGTGCCGGTTTTTTTTTGTGTGGGAAAATGCGGCACACATGAAAAACTACAAAAAACCTGCAATGTGCACTTAGAAAAATGGTTAAATTTGTGCCGTTAAATGAAAACCGACAAATAATAGTCAGATTTGTGCCGTGGATGTAATGCTTGTAGCATCGTGGGTATTTTCTTCTGATTTTTGGAGAATCTGAACCAGAATTCGAGCGTTTAGTGTAAAATTTGTGCCCTTTTTAGTGCCGTGGGACCGAAATATAAAAAAGGAACCCTGAAATCTGCACGGATTTGTGCCGCAGATGCACTGCTGAAACATAATGGCCATTTTTTCGACAATCTTGACCTGAATTTTTCGAGCTTTCAATAGTATAGTGCCGGTTCGAGTGGGATGACGCAATTTCTATTAAAATTAAATCGCGAGTGGTACCCGGGGGACCTTTCCAAATCGTTAAAAAAAGCGAAAGTCGATAATTACGAATGAAAAATGCAAATCGTCTCGGTTAAAGATGACGCAACCAGTTACCTTGCCACTGAAACCGTCGTTCTGACCTTCCCTGAGCGCCTCCGGTGGTATAAACGCGGGCGTTCCCACGGTCGTCGAAAGGTATGCGTCGGAACCGTCGAACTCGTTACAGACGCCCAGATCGGCGACCTGAACCCTTCCCGAATCGGTCAGTAGGAGATTGGCGGGTTTGATGTCTCGATGAATAATTCTCTGATAGTGTACTGAAAAATCGAGATGCACGCGTGACCGCGAGGGGGCGTCGGGCGGCACTTACAATATTCAATTCCTAGTATCACATCTCGAAAATAATGCCACGTATTATTTTCCGATAGAGGTTCGTCTGTTGGTACATTTAAAATGGGTTTTTCTAACAATTCGAAAACTAAATACAATTGGTCCTCTTCGGGGTCGTCAAGCACCTCGACTAATTTCACTACGTTCGGATGATCTAATTTCTTAAGTACGGCGATTTCCCTATACACCCTCTGGAGAGGTGTCAGCATTTCGGAATCGCACGATTTCGCAATCCATCTGGGAGGCAGCCTACCGAACATTCCTGCTTTCTTCACCAGCTTCTTCTTCGATAGTATCTTCATCGCCTGAAACATAGCCGTTAGTCTACTTAAGTTTTCTGAAAGTTGAAACCTTTAGTTCGAATTGGGAGCTTAAATTTCAAATTTAAGTTCTAAATTGCAACCTGAAATTAATTTTAGGTCAATTATGGGACCACCTTCAAACGGATTAGATTTCAGTTTGAATTGAACCGCAAACAACCTTTATTTTACATTAAATAATTGAAAGTTGAAACGTCTAGTTCGAATTGGGAGGTTAAATTTAAGTTCTAAATTGCAAACTGATATTAAATTTAGATCAAGTTATGAGACTACCTTCAAACGGATTACCTTTCAGTTCGAAATGAGTCGCAAACATCCTTTATTTTACATTAAATAATTGAAAGTTGAAACGTCTAGTTCGAATTGGGAGGTTAAATTTAAGTTCTAAATTGCAAACTGATATTAAATTTAGATCAAGTTATGAGACTACCTTCAAACGGATTACCTTTCAGTTCGAAATGAGTCGCAAACATCCTTTATTTTACATTAAATAATTGTAAGTTGAAACATTTAGTTCGAATTGGGAGGTTAAATTTCAAATTTAAGTTCTAAATTGCAACTTGAAATTAATTTTAGATCAAATTATGAGGCCATCTTCAAATGGGTTACCTTTCAGTTCGAATTGAGTTGCAAAAACTACCTTCAAACGGATTACCTTTCAGTTCGAAATGAGTCGCAAACATCCTTTATTTTACATTAAATAATTGAAAGTTGAAACGTCTAGTTCGAATTGGGAGGTTAAATTTAAGTTCTAAATTGCAAACTGATATTAAATTTAGATCAAGTTATGAGACTACCTTCAAACGGATTACCTTTCAGTTCGAAATGAGTCGCAAACATCCTTTATTTTACATTAAATAATTGTAAGTTGAAACATTTAGTTCGAATTGGGAGGTTAAATTTCAAATTTAAGTTCTAAATTGCAACTTGAAATTAATTTTAGATCAAATTATGAGGCCATCTTCAAATGGGTTACCTTTCAGTTCGAATTGAGTTGCAAAAACTACCTTCAAACGGATTACCTTTCAGTTCGAAATGAGTCGCAAACATCCTTTATTTTACATTAAATAATTGAAAGTTGAAACGTTTAGTTCGAATTGGGAGGTTAAATTTCAAATTTAAGTTCTAAATTGCAACTTGAAAGTAATTTTAGATCAATTATGAGACCACCTTCAAACTGAGTACCTTTCAGTTCGAATTGAGACGCAAAAATCCTTTATTAAATAATTGAAAGCTGAAGCGTTTAGTTCGAATTGGGAGGTTAAATTTCAAACTCAAGTTCTAAATTGCAACTTGTAATTAATTTTAGATCAAATTATGAGACCACCTTCAAACGGATTACATTTCAGTTCGAATTGAGTCGCAACAATCCTTTATTTTACATTAAATAATTGAAATTTGAAGCGTTTAGTTCGAATTGGGAAGTTAAATTTCAAATTTGAGTTCTACATTGCAACTTGAAATTAATTTTAGATCAAATATGAGACCACCTTCAAACGGATTACATTTCAGTTCGAATTGAGTCGCAAAAATCCTGTATTTAAATTAAACAATTGAAAGTTGAAGTGTTTAGTTCGAATTGGGAGGTTAAATTTCAAATTTAAGTTCTACATTGCAACTTGAAATTCATTTTAGATCAAATTATGATGCCACCTTCAAACGGATTACCTTTCAGTTCGAATTGAGTGGCAATAATCCTTTATTTTACATTAAATAATTGAAAGTTGAAGCGATTAGTTCGAATTGGGAGGTTAAATTTCAAACTCAAGTTTTAAATTGCAACCTTAAATTAATTTTGGATCAAATTATGAGACCAACTTCAAACGGATTACCTTTCAGTTCGGATTGAGTGGCAAAAATCCTTTATTTTACATTAAATAATTGAAAGTTGAAGCGTTTAGTTCGAATTGAGAGGTTAAATTTCAAACTCAAGTTCTAAATTGCAACCTTAAATTAATTTTAGATCAAATTATGAGGCCACCTTCAAACGGGTTACCTTACAGTTCGAATCTAGTCGCAAAAATCCTTTATTTTACATTAAATCATTGAAAGATGAAGCGTTTAGTTCCAATTGGGAGGTTAAATTACAAACTTAAGTTCTACATTGCAACTTGAAATTAATTTTAGGTCAAACTATGAGACCACCATCAAACGGTTCACCTTTCAGTTCGAATTGAGTCGCAAACATCCTTTATTTTACATTAAGCTTGAAATTCTAGCAGAAACCAGTATATGGTTTTAGATCTAATTAATTTATTTTTGAAATTAAAATTGAAGCATTTTATACGTGTCGGGTGCTCAAACATCGAACACAAACGCAAAATTCCATTGTTTACTCAATTTTTGATGAATTATTGAGATTCGGTTGACGGTACGAGCTTGAAATTCTAACAGAAACGTGTATTTGGTTTTAGATCTAATTAATTTAACTTTGAAATTAAAATTGAAGCATTTTATACGAGTTGGGTGCTTAAACATCGAACACAAACGCAAAATTCCATTGAGTACTCAATTTTTGATCTAATTATTGAGATTCGAGTGAAGGTATGAGCTTGAAATTCTAACAGAAACGTGTATTTGGTTTTAGATCTAATTAATTTAACTTTGAAATTAAAATTGACGCATTTTATACGAGTTGGGTGCTTAAACATCGAACACAAACGAAAAATTCCCTTGTTTACTCAATTTTTGATCTAATTATTGAGATTCGGTTGAAGGTATGAGCTTGAAATTCTAGTAGCAACCAGTATTTGGTTTTAGACCTAATTAATTAACTTTGAAATTAAAATTGAAGCATTTTATTCGAGTTGGGTGCTTAAACTTCGAACACAAACTCAAAATTTGATTGTTTGCACAATTGTATTGAGATTCAGTTGAAATTGAGGAATTAGGCGCATGAATTTTGAACAAAAATCAAAATTTTAACTTGTATTTGAATATAGGTCTAATTTAAGTGAAAGAGGAACTTTGTTCGAAATGAGTGCGTAAACTTCGAATCCAAACGCAAAATTTCGACGTTTTTTTTTCATTTTAAGATCTAATTACTGAGCTTCAAATAAAAACAAGGAGTTTAGTTCAAATTGATTTTAGATCTAAATGCTGAGACATTGAGTGAAAAGACACCTTGTTTGAGTAGACGCTTAAAATTCGAACCTAAGCCCAAAATTTTAACGTTTATTTCATTTTAGATCTAATGAAATTCCAAGGCGTATTTTATATTAGATCTAATTTAAGTAAAAATTGAGGCATTCTCTTCGCTCAATTCGAACCCAAACGGAAAATTCCAATCTTAGATACAATTTGAGTAATAATCGAGGCACTTAGTTCGAATTGAGCGTTTAAATAACAAATTCAACAACGTTTATTTCATTTTACATCTAATTATTGAGCTTCAAATGAAAGAAAGGGAATCGAGTTCTAATTCAGTGCTTGATATTTGCAACGAAACACATACCTATTTTATTTTAGATCTTTTTACAGAGGCGTTAAGTGAAAAGGGAGACACTTTGTTAGAATTAAGCGCCCATAATTCGAACCCAAAGTCAAATTTTATTTTAGATCTAATTACTGACACTGAATAAGAAGCTAAAATTCGAACTACGTTTATTTGATTTTAGATCTAATTACTGAGAGGGAGTGAAAATGGTCCATCTTGCACGCGCTTAAAATTAGAACCAAAACGCAAAATTTCAACCTTTAGTTAATTTAAGATCTAATCATTGAGTTCTCAATTCCAACTCAAGGTCCCAACTTTTTGGTCTAAAATTCGCATTTGACCTTGGCTCAAAGGTTCAAGCGCTCAATTAGAACTTCATAGTTCTTTGACATTGAGTTAAATTGTACTCTAAAACGAGGCGCACTCTAACACTTTCTGTTTGGGTAAGAATCCGCGGAAGCACAAATTGCACTATAGTCATAACCTTCAATTCTCACTAAAAAATTTGATCTAAAATAAAGTTCTAATGGAAGTGCGTGGTTCATTCCCCGTACTAAAGATCTTAACCGTGGTTTTGAGTACAATTTTTTGATCTAAAATAAAGTCCTCATAGTAATTCTGCCTTTCGGGTCTCAATTTTTAGAACTAAAATAAAATAGGTACGCGTTGGATCTTTGCGTTTCATTGCAAAATTTAAGCGCTCAATGCGAACTGGATTCCCTGTCTTTAATTTGAAGCTCAATAAGTAGATTGAAAATTAATGAAACGATGAAATTTTGGTTTGGACTTCGATTCGAACCAAGTGCGCTGATTTTTACTCAAATTGGATCGAAAATTAGAATTTTCCGTTTGTGTTCGAATTTAGCGTTTAATTCGAAATTAGATTTAAAATGCGCGTTAGAATTTAGTGTTTCACTTCCAAGTCAAATCGCTCAATTCGAACTGAGCGCTTTATTTTTCATTGACAGCTCAATAATTAGATCTATGATTAAATCAATACTCGAAGTTTAACCACCGATTCGAACTACGTTTTACTCAAATTAAATCTAAAATAAAATACACATTGGGATTTGTGTTAAAAAGTTCTAATCCTAAGCGCTTAATTCGAACGAAGCGTCTTAATTTTCGCTCATAGTCCCAATAATTAGATCTGTAACGTAATAAATTGGAATTTTGAGTTTGGGGTTCAATCATGGTGCCTCAATTTTCACTCAGAGTCTCAGTAATTACATCTAAAATAAAATATATATTGAAATTTTGTTCAATTCGAACTGAATTCTTTATTTCTCATTTGAAGCTATCGTATAATTAGATGTAAAATACAACACGTTGGAAATTTGAGTTTTAATTTTAACCGCTTAATTCGAACAAAGTGCCTCAAATTTCACTCAATGTCTCAGTAATTAGATCTAAAATACACGTTGAACGCCTCATGTTTTATTTGAAGCTCAATAATTAGATCAAAATTGAGTAAACAGTGAAATTTTGCTTTTTTGTTCGAAGTTTAAGTGCTCAATTCAACAGAAAAATTCAATTTTAGATTCAATTTAAATAACGAATTTCAACGTTGATTTCTCTAGAGATCTAATTATTGAGTTACCAATAAAAAATAGAGAATTCAGTTCGAATTGAGTGATTGAACTTTGACGCAAAAGCCAACATTTCGAAGTGTATATTATTTTAGATCTAATTTAGGTAAAAATTGAGACATTTTTGTTCGAAATAGGCGGTCCAACTTCAAATCCAAACGTTTATCCATTTTAGATCTATTACTCAGTTTAATGTGAAAACGAGTATGAATTCGAAATTGAGCGATTGAACTTTGAAGCAAAATTACAACGTATATTTTCTTTAGATCTAATTACTGAGACGGATTGAAGATTGGGGTGCCTTGTTCGAGTTAGACGCGACAATTTGGAACTCAACCACAAAATTTCAATGTGCATTTTAGATCTAATTATTGAGTCTGAAATGAAAGGTGGGGAATCCAGCTCGAATTGAGCGATTGAACTTTGAAGCGAAACTCTAAACTCCAGCCTGTATTTTATTTTAGATCTCTAATCATTGAAACGTTTGAGTAAAGATTGAGCATTTGGTTCGACTTAAGCGCTTAAAATTCGAACTCATAACACCTCATTCCAATGTGAATTGTATTTTAGATCTAATTATTGAGCTTCAAAGGTTCATATATTGACACTATCTCTACATTTCGAACTGAGCCTCATTTAAAATTGAGTCAAAATTTAGTTCGAATTGGTCACTTAAAAATTCGAACCGAATCATTTAAATCGTTTGTATTGGAAGTCCACCCAAGAGCCATCAATAATCAGATGCTTCCTCACAAAAGGCGAGTTCGACATAAGCACTAAATTAAAATTACATTTGCATACGTGGCAAATTGGGCGCGTGCCTTGTTCATAAGACAATAACTCTCGTAATCTGTGGGAAAAATCTACTTACGTAATGAGTATCGTCCTCTTGGTTGTAGGCAAGTTTAACGATACCGTAGGCGCCCTGAAAGTGGTATGTTAATTCGTATTAAGTTTAACATTTAAAAAAAGTGACAGCATGCATAATTAACTAACGGTGTCAGGCGTTACGTACTTGAAACATTATCGCGCCCATTAATTTGCATACGATTACAATCTCGACGTATGTAAACAACTTTTTTTTTGTTTACGCACCTGTCCAATTGAATCCATGAGCTTGTACTGATTCAATTGTATGTACATTCCCGTATGCTCCATGGAGATCCTTCTCGACTCCTTTATCGGCTGCTTCTTCTTACCTCTCGGCGAATTGGTCGGACTACCATAGGGGGAGTAGGGGCAGTTCGGGTAGATGGGTCGGTTTTCTATCGCTAAACTTTTCGATTGTATCAAACCTTTCGGATTGGTCAACTTATTCGTAACGGTCGCTGCCTTTGGATATTGGGATAGTATATTATTATTTCTAGAAATATCTGACGAAGGCACAACAGACGATGATATCACAGTTTGAGGTTCAAGACCAATTTGATTCGGCTCGGATAGGGTTTGGGTGGGACAGTTTTGTGAAGGTGTCTCCGAATTGTCGGGCGACGTTCTCGAGTTGGGCGCTGTGGTTTCGGCGGTACGCGATGACTTTACGTCAACATCGACGGCGGTGTATCTGAAAAAAATGTCAATTAAGGGACCCACATCACGACCATGCCATTTTTAGAAAAGGACGTCCTTTTCCCAAAAAATTAGCTACGTAGTGCCTTGCAGGTGCTTTTGTCGAACCCACTCTACACGCTGTAGTAAAGCTAATGTAATTTCTAAATCAGCAATCCTGTATAAAAACAAAATTTTGGCTAGGGAATCAAATCTAAAGGTGCCATACATTAATAAAGACGCCACACATGGACAAACCAGTGCCGTGGCGAATCAAAACTGTGACTACCACAAGCACAGACAGTTTGCTTACGTCGAGCATCAAGTTTTTGGCGCTGAGAGCTCGAGCCATATGACGCATTAGGGTTTTTTAGTCGGAAGCGGCCTAAAAAAGAGATTAATCAAACTTTGTGGGGAGGCTTCCCAGCAAAAAAGGTTTCAAATTCCCAAAAATGTCGGATGATGTTTGGTTTTCGAAATATTGAAAATGCAACGGCACGATCAATAAAAATTTGAACCAGTGCAACTAATCACAATGGAATACCCCCCCCCCCCCAGACTGGCCGGTGATGCATTATTCCCAAAGCATTTAGAGCTTTTGGTCTGTGGAAAATTTTCTTCGGAAATAATCATTTATGCTGACTGCGTGAACGTAATACCGGAGGGTCTGGGGAGTATGGAATTCCCCAGGAAAAGGTTGATTTATTGAAAGTATCCTGAAAGCAACTGAAAAAGTGGTTTTTAAGAAAAGGCAATCTGAAGAATCAGAAACGTCTGAAGAATCGGAAGGATTTGAGGGATCTAGGGGAGGTGAGGGATCTGAAGGACCTGCGGGATCTGAAAGATGTGAGGTGGTATCTGGGAGGGATCTAACGAAGCTGAGAGATCTGAGTGATCTACCGGAGCTGAGAGATCTAAAGGATCCGAAGTACCTGAAGGATCTGAGGGAACTGTGGATCTGAAAGAGAAAGGAGGAAAGGGGGGTAGTACATGAGAAAGAGAAGGAACACAAGAAAGAAGTGAAGAGACTTCTGAACCAAATCGAAAATGTGGCAATTTGTTGATGATTGTGTCTAGGGGAGTGGCTTCCTCATAGATGCATATCTAGTTCGTCGGTCTAGGAGGGGGTATTGGAGTGTACTTCGTGCAGTTCTTGCCTCTGATAATGCTACTCGAGCCACTTAGTGAAGTGACTTCTGAACTAAATCGAAAATGTGTCAATTTGTTGATGATTGTGTCTAGGGGAGTGGCTTCCTCATAGATGCATATCTAGTTCGTCGGTATGGTAGGAGGTATTGGAGTGTACTTCGTGCAGTTCTTGCCTCTGACCATGCTACTCGAGTCACTTAGTGAAGAGACTTCTGAACTAAATCGAAATTGTGGTTATTTGCTGTGATTGTGTCTTGGGGAGTGGCTTCCTCATGGATGCATATCTAGTTCGTCGGTGTGGGAGGGGGTATTGGAGTGTACTTCGTGCAGTTCTTGGCTCTGATCATGCTACTCGAGCCACTTAGTGAAGAGACTTCTGAACTAAATCGAAATTGTGGCAATTTGTTGATGATTGTGTCTTGGGGAGCGGCTTCCTCATAGATGCATATCAAACTCGTTGGTATGGGAGGGGGTATTGGAGTGTACTTCGTGCAGTTCTTGCCTCTGACCATGCTACTCGAGCCACTTAGTGAAGAGACTTCGGAACTAAATCGAAAACGTGGCAATTTGTTGATGATTGTGTCTAGGGGAGTGGCTTCCTCATGGATGCATATCTAGTTCGTCGGTGTGGGAGGGGGTATTGGAGTGTACTTCGTGCAGTTCTTGCCTCTCGAAAACCATTGTGTCTAGGGGAGTGGCTTCCTCGCATATCTAGCGTCACTTAGTTCTTGCCTCTGACCATGCTACTCGAGCCACTGAAGTGACTTCTGAACTAAATCGAAAATGTGTCAATTTGTTGATGATTGTGTCTAGGGGAGTGGCTTCCTCATAGATGCATATCTAGTTCGTCGGTATGGGAGGGGGTATTGGAGTGTACTTTGTGCAGTTCTTGCCTCTGATAATGCTACTCGAGCCACTTAGTGAAGTGACTTCTGAACTAAATCGAAAATGTGTCAATTTGTTGATGATTGTGTCTAGGGGAGTGGCTTCCTCATAGATGCATATCTAGTTCGTCGGTATGGTAGGAGGTATTGGAGTGTACTTCGTGCAGTTCTTGCCTCTGACCATGCTACTCGAGTCACTTAGTGAAGAGACTTCTGAACTAAATCGAAATTGTGGTTATTTGCTGTGATTGTGTCTTGGGGAGTGGCTTCCTCATGGATGCATATCTAGTTCGTCGGTATGGGAGGGGGTATCGGAGTGTAATTCGTGCAGTTCTCGCCTCTGATCATGCTACTCGAGCCACTTAGTGAGGAGACTTCTGAACTAAATCGAAAATGTGGCAATTTATTGTTGATTGTGTCTTAGGGAGTGACTTCCTCATAGATGCGTATCTAGTTTGTCGGTATGGGAGGGGGTATCGGAGTGTACTTCGTGCAGTTCTTGCCTCTGATCATGCTACTCGAGCCACTTAGTGAGGAGACTTCTGAACTAAATCGAAAATGTGGCAATTTATTGTTGAGTGTGTCTTAGGGAGTGACTTCCTCATAGATGCGTATCTAGTTCGTCAGTATGGGAGGGGGTATTGGAGTGTACTTCGTGCAGTTCTTGCCTCTGACCATGCTACTCGAGCCACTTAGTGAAGTGACTTCTGAACTAAATCGAAAATGTGGCAATTTATTGTTGATTGTGTCTTAGGGAGCGACTTCCTCATAGATGCGTATCTAGTTTGTCGGTATGGGAGGGGGTATCGGAATGTACTTCGTGCAGTTCTTGCCTCTGATCATGCTACTCGAGCCACTTAGTGAGGAGACTTCTGAACTAAATCGAAAATGTGTCAATTTGTTGATGATTGTGTCTATGGGAGTGGCTTCCTCATAGATGCATATCTAGTTCGTCGGTATGGTAGGGGTATTGGAGTGTACTTTGTGCAGTTCTTGCCTCTGATTAATGCTACTCGAGCCACTTTGTGAAGTGACTTCTGAACTAAATCGAAAATGTGTCAATTTGTTGATGATTGTGTCTATGGGAGTGGCTTCCTCATAGATGCATATCTAGTTCGTCGGTATGGTAGGGGGTATTGGAGTGTACTTCGTGCAGTTCTTGCCTCTGACCATGCTACTCGAGTCACTTAGTGAAGAGACTTCTGAACTAAATCGAAATTGTGGTTATTTGCTGTGATTGTGTCTTGAGGAGTGGCTTCCTCATGGATGCATATCTAGTTCGTCGGTATGGGAGGGGGTATCGGAGTGTAATTCGTGCAGTTCTCGCCTCTGATCATGCTACTCGAGCCACTTAGTGAGGAGACTTCTGAACTAAATCGAAAATGTGGCAATTTATTGTTGATTGTGTCTTAGGGAGCGACTTCCTCATAGATGCGTATCTAGTTTGTCGGTATGGGAGGGGGTATCGGAGTGTAATTCGTGCAGTTCTCGCCTCTGATCATGCTACTCGAGCCACTTAGTGAGGAGACTTCTGAACTAAATCGAAAATGTGGCAATTTATTGTTGATTGTGTCTTAGGGAGTGACTTCCTCATAGATGCGTATCTAGTTTGTCGGTATGGGAGGGGGTATCGGAGTGTACTTCGTGCAGTTCTTGCCTCTGATCATGCTACTCGAGCCACTTAGTGAGGAGACTTCTGAACTAAATCGAAAATGTGGCAATTTATTGTTGAGTGTGTCTTAGGGAGTGACTTCCTCATAGATGCGTATCTAGTTCGTCAGTATGGGAGGGGGTATTGGAGTGTACTTCGTGCAGTTCTTGCCTCTGACCATGCTACTCGAGCCACTTAGTGAAGTGACTTCTGAACTAAATCGAAAATGTGGCAATTTGTTGATGATTGTGTCTAGGGGAGTGGCTTCCTCATAGATGCATATCTACTTCGTCGGTATGGGAGGGGGTATTGTAGTGTACTTCGTGCAGTTCTTGCCTCTGACCATGCTACTCGAGCCACTTAGTGAAGAGACTTCTGAACTAAATCGAAGTTGTGGCAATTTGTTGATGATTGTGTTTTGGGGAGTGGCTTCCTCATAGATGCATATCTAGTTCGTCGGTATGGGAGGGGGTATTGGAGTGTACTTTGTGCAGTTCTTGCCTCTGCTAATGCTACTCCAGCCACTTAGTGAAGAGACTTCTGAACTAAATCGAAAATGTGGCAAGTTGTTGATGATTGTGTCCTGGGGAGTGGCTTCCTCATAGATGCATATCTAGTTCGTCGGTATGGGAGGGGGTATTGGAGGGTACTTCGTGCAGTTCTTGCCTCTGCTAATGCTACTCCAGCCATTTAAAGAAGAGACTTCTGAACTAAATCGAAAATGTGGCAAGTTGTTGATGATTGTGTCTAGGGGAGTGGCTTCCTCATAGATGCATATCTACTTCGTCGGTATGGGAGGGGGTATTGTAGTGTACTTCGTGCAGTTCTTGCCCTTGGCCATGCTACTCGAGCCACTTAGTGAAGAGACTTCTGAACTACGAAGTTGTGGCAATTTGTTGATGATTGTGTCTAGGGGAGTGACTTCCTCATAGATGCATATCTAGTTGGTCGGTGCCCTCAAGTGAGGGGAGGGGGGTACTAAGTTGAGCAAACAACTGCACAAAAACAGCTGCAGCATATACAAAGGCTAGCCAGTATGACAGGAGCCACGAGGACCTGTCCCACAGTCGCTATGCAGCCACTGCTAGGCCTGGTGCCACTCCACTTAATGGTGTATGTGTAATGAGCTCGAAACTTATAAAAATGATGCATGATCGATGAAAAATTGAACCGATTTCACTCTGCAAAATTGTAAAAGACAACAATATCGAAAGCACTTACTTTGGAATCTCTCCAATCCGCGGAGGCCTCTGCTTTCGGCAATTGCAAGCTCCATCCAGCCACGGTAAACCTAAAACAGATATCGAAAAAATTATAATCGCGCGACAATTGCGGACGTGTTCGCGCGTTGAATTGCAAATTTGCATAGAAACGCGAACGTTTCAGCATAAAAATTGCGCAATTTCTCGATATATTTGCAAGGCTAGACGGCGGCGGTGTCATAAGATTTTTGAATCATTTCCGATTTGTAAGTGTAATACGAGCGACATATGCCCTTATCGGTCGGTTTCCCATTACGCTCCATCCACCCCATTCGATATATCTTTAAAGTAATTTTAGGGGATCGATCGATAGACGTGTAGCGTCCAAAATTTGACATGCGAAACACATTTTTCATCCGAAAAGGGAATTTCCTTTTAGAATTAATGAGCGTGATGAACTTTCGGCGAGTTGACTAACCCCCAGCTATCTATTTATGGAAAAAGTGAAGGGGGCGAATTTTAACCCCTTTACATCCTACAAAGCGGAACTAAACGATGTGTGTACTTTTTTCAGAATGCGAGGGTTCAAACCTTGGCGGTGGACTTTTTTTTTTCTTAAACGAGGCCCGAAAATTTCACTTTGGCCACCTTTCTCTTAGTTTACTCGACGAGTTGTGAATCACTTTTTGCGACTGGATGTCATAAAAATAAAGACTTTGGAGAGTGATGGAGAGGACAAGATGGATCTGGAAAACCACAAAAGGCGAGAGGAGACAACATGAGACGACCAATGGGAGAGGGAAGAGAAGGCGGGAGACATTAAGAAAGGACGGAAGAAAGAAGAACGGAACAAGTAGGAAAAGGGGAATAGAATCGGGACAGCAAAGAGGAGGTGGAGAAACCTGAAAAGGTCGGGTGGCTCAGAAGAGGACATTAGAGGACTGCAGAAGTACGTAAAGGGCAGGGGATAAGTAGAAGTCAGAAGATTTCAGGAAAGTACAAGAACGTGTATAAAAGGACAATAGAAAAGAAGCAGTAGAAAAGAACACGAAATATCAGGGTAGAACAGGAAATGAAAGAAGAGGGCAACTGAAAATAGTAGAGGTCAGTTAAGAACAGAGCAGCTGGAGATGCTAGGGGGGAGAAGGTAAGGGTACGATAGGTGAGGGCATGAGAGAATGGGAAAAAGTAGAAGGTGCAATGTAGGGCAGTAAAGAAAACAGAAGATGGACAACAGAACAGACGAGGTCGGACGAGGATAGAGATAGAGAAGAATACAAAAGCGGGCAGTGTGGCAGGTTAAAGGCAAGAGAAGAATATAGGTTTACAAAGGTGCATGAGAGGACTGGAGGGGGACGTGAATAGGCAAGAGAGAGTAAGCGGACAGGTGGTTAGGAAAGTGTAGTGAAAGATAGGAGAAGGCAGTAGTTTGGTGAAGTGAGGAGCGGTTAGTGGATATGACAGTAGAAAGAAGAAGGTGACAAGTAGGGCAGGGAGGACAGAAAGAGTGCATCAGAACAGCAGAGGATAGGAGTAGAATTGAGGGAGAAGGTACGTGTATTAAACGATGAGTCAATGACATGAAAAGAGATGAGTGCTTTGGAAGAGCCAAAGGCAGTTAGTAGAAGACAACAAGTGCAGAATTCAGGAAATGACATGAGACGTCAGAAACAGGAGACAATTGGAGAGGTGAGGGGAGGGGAGAATAATAGATTTACAAACGAAAAGGTAGAGACGCTTTCAAATGAGTTTTGTTAAGGAATTCAAAGAATCAAGAGAAGGAGAGTTTAGGAGATGAGAGAATAGTGTAGGAGAACACAAAAGAGAACTGAAAGACAGACAAGAAAGCACATAGTTGTACAGGAGATAGCAGTAGAGATCAGAAGGGGCAATAGATAACATGATACCAAACAGGAGAAAGCAACTGAAGATAGTAAACACCAAAGGATGTGGGAAAGAACAATAAAGAGCAGAAGAGAGTACAGGAAAGGGTCAGATGCAAGACATGATAGGAAACAGGAGAGAGCAAGAGGAGGCCGGGTAGAAGCAGGAGAAGTCAAGAAAGGATAAGAATTAGCAAAGGGCATGGGAGAAGAGTAAAAGAGGATACGACAGGACAGAAAACAGTAGTAGATGACAAGGGGAAACCGGGGCCAGGAGAGCGTTGGAAAAGATTGGAGACGAGGGAAAGACTAAATAGTGGCGAACAGGATGAGACAAGAGATTGTTGTAGAGGACAAGAGATGGCAATAGAGGAGAAGAGTACGTGAGATGATAAGATATGATAGGATAGGTCAGTAGGTGGGGCCAATGAGAACTGGAACCAGAAAGGGTAGAGACAGGGGACGACAAAAAAGGACAGAAGAGAACAGGAAACGCTGGAGAAAGTACGAGTGAGAGTGAGCAAGAGATGAAATAATGAGTCAAGAGGAGACAAGGAATAGCAGAAATGGTAGGCATGGGGGGGATGACAATGTGTTACAAAAGATGTCGGGAGAGAGAATGGTTGGAAGGAAAAGGTACGCTACAGGATGGCGATAAAAAGGGACAGAAGTGACTGGACGATACTCGAAAGGAGGGGACAGCCGATAGTAGGAAAGAACCAAAACGTCCCCAGGGGGATATGAGAACGCATGAAAGATGGGAGGGAACAATAAGGACGACAGAATAGAGCAGGAAACGATAAGAGAGGGTTGAAGAGGGCAAGTCTATGTATAAGGGGACAGGTCGCGACAGAGTGTAGGAGAGGGTAAAAAAGACAGGGAATTGCAGGAGATCTGCGAGGACAGGAGAGGGAAGAAGAAAATTGTAAATAACAGTAGATATCAGATAGATTAGGAAAGGGTGCGCAAAAGAGCATAGAACTTATCAGGCTATAGCAGGAGAAGACGCAAAAGACCAGGATTTGGAGGAAATGACGGAATGGGCCAGGAGGTGGTAGGTGGGAGTAAAAGAGGAAAGTGTAAAATGGAAGGGTAGAACCGGTGACGACAGAACAGGGCAGGAAAGGGTAGGAGAAAACAGGTAATTACACGAAATAGTGAGAGTGAGTCAAGAGAGGACAAGGAATAGCAAGAAATGGTAGGAGAAGAATAGGAGGAGGAGGACAGACGACCATATGTTACAAAAGGTGACGGGCGATAGTTGGAGAGAGTATGATTGGAACGAAAGGGTAGCAGACAACAGGAATCGATAAAAAAGGGACAGTAATGACTGGACAATATTGGAAAGAAGGGGGCGGGCGATAGTAGGAAACAATAGGAACGTCTCCAGGAGCTGTGTAGGAGAAAACGGAAGAGCAAGAGAAGGGTAGAAAGAGGGGGTTGCAAGGGATAGAAAAGGGTTAGAAACAGCACGAGAGGGTAGCAGACTAAGGAAAAGGAAGGAGGATAGGGGAGGGAACAATAGGGATGGCATAACAGGGTAGGAAATGATAAAAGAGAGTCGGAGACGGTAAGAGGATAACAGGGAAGAGAGGACAGGGCACGACAGACAGACAGGATAGACTAGGCAAGAACAAGAAAGCACAGAAAAGGACAAGAGAGTGTAGAAAAGGACAAGAGACGGCGCAGTAGGAGAAAATAGAAAGGAACAAGAGAAGGTGAGATAGAACGGGAGAGGACAGTATATGAGAATTTCTAATTGTTTGCAAGAAAGAGAACGGTAAATGCTAAAAAGGACAAAAAAGAAAAAGACAGAAAACGAGAGAGCAGGTGAAGGTATGAGAGGGTAGGAGACGACGGGAAAGGACAGAGGCAGATATAAGAGATGGAATAAAGAGAGGGTAGGAGAAAGGAGATGGGAGTAGATCATCGTCGAAAACAGGAGACAGGTGAGAGCTGGGGAGGACATGAAACGTCAGAACCAAAGGAGAGAATTGGAGAGGTGAGCGGGGGATAATAGATGCTACCCGGGAAGAGAGGGCAGGGGGGGGGGGGGGGGAAAAAATCAAAGGGTTGCAGAGCGTTTTCGAATTAGTTTTGTTAAAAAATTCAAAGAAACAGAAGCAGGAGGGGTTAGGAGATTAGAGGATGCTATAGGGGAAAACAAAATATGAGAACAGAAGATAAACGAAAAGGAAAAGAAAAGTGGAGAGGATATGAGACATCAGAAACCCAGGAGAGAATTCGAGAGGCGAGGGGTGGATAATAGATGTTAAACGGGAAGAGAGGGTAGGGGAGGTTAGGGAAATGTCAGAGGGCTGCAGAACGTTTTGAAATCAGTTTTGTTAAGCAATTCAAAAGATGAGAGGATAGGCTTGGAGAAAACAAAAGAGAGACATGGGGATAATAAAGTGCAAGACATGATAGGACACAGGAGAGAGAAGCAAGGAGAGAGAAAATTATTACGTTTTCCCAGATTCATATGAACTCAGCAGAACACTACCTCAAAAAACCAAGAAAATGAAAAGTGAACTAACTATAATTAGGTGCTAATTAGGTGCTAATTAAGTTCCCTATTCCCGAATTCAATGCTCCTTTAGTAAAAAATTATTGCATGTTCTGCAAGGTGCATATGAACTCATCAGAGCACTACCTCAAAAAACCAAGAAAATCAAAAGTGAACTAACTATAATTAGGTGCTAAGTAGGTGCTAATTAAGTGCCCTATTCCCGAATTAAATGCTCCTTTTTTTAAAAATTATTACATGTTTCCCAGGTTCATATGAACTCATCAGAGCACTACCTCTATAAACCAAGAAAATGAAAAGTGAACTACCTATAATTAGGTGCTAATTAAGTGCCCTATTCCCTAATTAAATGCTCTTTTTTTAAAAAAATTATTACATGTTCTGCCAGGTGCATATGAACTCATCAGAGCACTACCTCAAAAATCCAAGAAAATCAAAAGTGAACTAACTATAATTAGGTGCTAAGTAGGTGCTAATTAAGTGCCCTATTCCCGAATTAAATGCTCCCTTTTTTAAAAATTATTACATGTTTCCCAGGTTCATATGAACTCATCAGAGCACTACCTCTATAAACCAAAAAAATGAAAAGTGAACTACCTATAATTAGGTGCTAATTAAGTGCCCTATTCCCTAATTAAATGCTCTTTTTTTTTTTAAAATTATTACATGTTCTGCCAGGTGCATATGAACTCATCAGAGCACTACCTCAAAAAAACAAGAAAATGAAATGTGAACTAACTATAATTAGATGCTAATTAGGTGCTAATTAAGTGCCCTATTCCCGAATTAAATGCTCCTTTTTTTAAAAATTATTACATGTTTTCCCAGGTTCATATGAACTCATCAGAGCACTACTCGGAGCACTACCTCAAAAAACCAAGAAAATGAAAAGTGAACTAACTATAATTAGGTGCTAATTAAATGCCCTATTCCCGAATTAAATGCTCTTTTTTTTTAAAAAAATTATTACATGTTCTGCCAGGTAATTGTAGTTAGTTCACTTTTCATTTTATTGGTTTTTTGAGGTAGTGCTCTGCTGAGTTCATATGAACCTGGCAAAACATTTAATAATTTAAAGAAAAGGAGCATTTAATTCGGGAATAGGGCACTTAATTAGCACCTAATTAGCACCTAATTATGCAATATGTTTGATTGTGTTCTGCTGAACTTGCTCTGCTAGGTTAATGGACATAATAAAGAGCAAAAGAGAATGTGCGAGTGCAGGCGGTGACAGTATGAGAATGGGGTAGGAAAGGGTGGGAGATGACAGGAAATGGGGAGGATACGACAGGTGAGGAAAAAAAGAGAGCAGGAAATGACAGCAACTGGCTGGAGAGGACGGTAGATGGGACATTGCGGACAGGAGATGGGGGGAAAGAGACAGCCAGTATAGCGGACAAGAGATTGTTGCATTGGATAGGAGATGGCAATAGAGTAGAAGAAGAAAAGGTGAGGAGAAGGAAATGGGGGAGGACAGATAACAATTTGTTATAAAAGATGACTTGGAAATAGTAGGGTTGGAAGGAAAAGGTGGCAGACAACAGGAAGGCGATAAAAAAGGACAGAAGTGACTGGAGAATACTGGAAAGGAGGGGGCAGTCGATAGTATGAAAGAACAGGAACGTCTCCAGGAGCTGGAAAGAGCAGAGGAGTGTAGGAGAAAACTGAAAATTAGAAGCATTAGAAACCACACGAGACAGTAGGACAGGACAGAGGGTAGCAGACGACTTAAAAAGGAGGGAAAAGTTCAACAAATTCCGCCTTCCAGAGAGCTTAAGCGAATCTGAGGAAATCTTCAAAAAATGCAAGAAAGAGCAAGAGGGGGCAGAAGCATGGGTTTGCGTAGTAGGTTCATCAAGTCAGTTCGAGAGCCAGTTTTCTAAGATACAAGAGCAGGAGACATGACATGGTAGAGTAGGAGGAGACAGGAGAGAACTGAAAAGGAAAGCCAAATAATGTACAAGCCCGTAATAGGGTCGTAGAGGAGAGTAGGGGTTAGGAGGAGGGAGGTTAGGACGTGGAAAAGTACAATAAATGGCAAGATATGGTAGGAAATTAGGAGTACGAGAGAACGGGAAGAGGCTGGAGACAATAAATCGCACTTTTAACACTAAACACTGGGGACGAGGAAGAGCTGGAGAGGGCATGAGAGGGCAAGAGAGGGGAGAATGGCAAAGGACAGCAAATGAGAGAGGAATGATAAGGCCAAAAAAGGTCAGAAGAAAATAGGAGAAAAAAAAAGCTGAGAGAGCACGAATAAAAGTCAAGATAGATGGGAGGAGAGGACAGAAAATAATTGGAGACAACGGAAGAGGGGCAGTGAGGGTGGAAGGAGGGAGAAAGTTTTGCAAAATGTTAAAAACGGAACGAGCTTCAACTTCGTTCCTGTAAATTGCTATGATCTCATTTATTGAGGAGAGATAGTGACCAGAGATTCCGGATATCCCCGCAAAACTGATAAGGTTTTGCGCACAAAACGTTCGGGAAGCACTTTCAAAAAATTATCCCTAATTCGACAGGAATTACCTCGGATTTCCATATTTAACTCAAACTGCGGAATAAATTAGTCATCGATTCAATGAACTTCGGGCCTTCTTTCGGACCTTGCCCAGCGACCGCCCCGACGACGTCAAAACGTCGGATTCAGATAAACGCAATAATTTCAAAATCGATGGGTAATCGTCCTTGTATATCGCTCGCCCATTATTCTAATACTATTATTATCGACACAATGACGTCCGGTTCCGTAATTACCAAAATTGTCAACTTACCGTCGCGCGTCTCGGCGGATGACGTCATCGTGCAGCAAACCTCTCAGCGGCACTCGCGAAAATACGCGTCCGTTTCGGACAATGTCCGCGTCATTGACGCTTTATCTTTCAGATAGGAATTTTTAACAACAACAACCAGATTTGGTGGAAAATTAATAATAATAATAATTGCGGACTTACCTTGTTGAAGAGTAGTCATGATACGCTATGCTGAACTAAAGAACTGGAAACAAGCATCGGTAATCCCGAGGGCTGCACGATACCATTCCTTCCTTAAAGCGCTCGCTTTAAAAAACTGAAACAATAAAAATCCCCGATTAGAATTAATTGCGCGCACGCACCCCCTTCGCCGGAGCATCTCAACGGAAGCCCTAAGGGTCGCTCCGGCTTGCGTCAATGCCGGATTAAAAGAAAACAGCGCGGGTCACCTAAATGTCAAAAACCGCGTACCTTTTTTTTTCCCGAATTTCGAATAATATCGTGACGTCGAGCTGTCGTGCTTCGAGGTCGAAAGTTACAAAACTAAATGAAAATGGTCGAATTGATTACCTCGTCAACAGATGGGGGCACAGATAATGGCGCGAACGCTATTCCCGGAGCGTGATTTGGAATGGAACTTATCGCTCCTCGGCCACGGTTCCCGAAGGCTGAGAACCACGACCTTTCGCACTCGGATGGCGTGCGAATTAAAAATCGTGAATGCCCGCATGACTAAGTGTCGTGTTGATTTGGCTCAAAGATCGCTCTGGTTATAGTTTTATAAAACGAAAGTTTGCATATGCGTTGAAATAAATAAATAAACACGTTAACTTAAACGTTACATTAAGAAATCGCAGTTAAAGTCCAAGGGTACATGGATGGAGTGAAAATAACATCGTGTTTTTCGAGTACTCGGTGCTATTGGGCTCGGTTGAGAGAGTATGTCGAGAGTCTTTAACTTCATCCAAACTTTCAAGGTCTTAAGAATATTCGAGTCTTTGGTTTTCAGAAATTTTGAAGCGTTCAGGCTCTTAAAAATTCGAGAGCACCTATGTTCTCCTGATACAAATACAGGGTGAAAATTTCGTTTGGAAGAAGCTTTTTATGGTATCCAAAAAAACCTGCTACCAGTCTACGTCAAGGTCAAGGGGGGGGGGGGGGAAATTTTTTGTCATGGCAAATACTAGGTACACGTTTTTGGATATAGCAGCATAAAAAACTTATCAAATGTAAGCGAAAAACTCAAATTAAGGAGTTAATATTGTCAAAGCAATTTATTATACAGTGATTCAAAATTGAGGGCAAACATTTTCAAACATTTTTTTCATATAATCGTATGCCGTAACTTGGTTCCTTTTCTAGATACAGGGTGTAAAAGTTTAAAAAAAAAATAGGTTTTTTCAATTATTCAAAAACCTTTCAGCCGAGTTAAAGAAAATTTGGTAGGCTTATTTGTCGTCATAAGGGCCTTCCTTTGGTGGGAATAAGATAAATAAAAACCGATTTGTTTACAATACTTTTTTACTCTTTGTATCTAGAAAACGAAGCAAGTTAGGACATACGATAATATGAACGAAATTTCTTATTTTTGGCTGGTAAATATACCCTTAAAGTCTTTGTACTCAATTTTGAATCGCCCTGTATAAAAAGTTATGAAAAACTAGCAGGTTCGGTGCACTTCGCACTGATTAACAGTCTATGTTCCGCTCCCGCATTTCAGGAGATGCGCCGCCTCACCTCACTCAATTTTGCTAAATCAGAAACCTTCGCGGACATGCGTCCAAACATTCCCCACGTGTTTATCGTAATCGAATGAATGAGACGCAAGATCGGTTTCGGAAGGAGCGTTTTAGGATTTTTCGAGTCAATTGCAGGTGGTTTCTAGGATTCTCCAGCCTCGGTTAGTTTCAGAAAGAGGAATGAAAGCTCTATAATAGCCTAGGTAGTTCTTGGAAGGTAACTAGACTGCGGTTTTCAGATGTTTTTTGAACTAATTCGCGATCCGAAGGCGAGTTCGGCATAAATCGTGCTTTCCCTATGAGAGGGGTGCGCCAAATTAGTAGGCGCAGTGGTAAATGGTGAAATTTTCTCTGCTTGAATTTGCCATAATCTGTTCCGATGTCGAGAGACCCGAAGGCGAGTTCGGCACAAATCGTGCTTTCCCTATGAGAGGGGTGCGTCGAATTTATGCCGAACTCGCCTACGGCTCGCTCGGCATCGTAGGCGCAGTGTTAAATAGTGAAATTTTCTCTGCTTGAATTTGCGCCATAATCTGTACTGATGTCGAGAGAGCCGAAGGCGAGTTCGGCATAAATCGTGCTTTCCCTATGAGAGGGGTGCGCCAAATTAGTAGGCGCAGTGGTAAATGGTGAAATTTTCTCTGCTTGAATTTGCCATAATCTGTTCCGATGTCGAGAGACCCGAAGGCGAGTTCGGCACAAATCGTGCTTTCCATGTGAGGGGGGTGCGTCGAATTTATGCCGAACTCGCCTACGGCTCGCTCGGCATTCGTAGGCGCAGTGTTAAATAGTGAAATTTTCTCTGCTTGAATTTGCGCCATAATCTGTACTGATGTCGAGAGAGCCGAAGGCGAGTTCGGCACAAATCGTGCTTTCCATGTGAGAGGGGTGCGTCGAATTTATGCCGAACTCGCCTACGGCTCGCTCGGCATCGTAGGCGCAGTGTTAAATGGCGAAATTTTCTCTGCTTGAATTTGCCATAATCTGTTCCGATGTCGAGCGAGCCGAAGGCGAGTTCGGCACAAATCGTGCTTTCCCTATGAGAGGGGTGCGTCAAATTTATGCCGAACTCGCCTACGGCTCGCTCGGCGTTCGTAGGCGCAGTGTTAAATAGTGAAATTGTCTCTGCTTAAATTTGCGCCATAATCTGAACCGATGTTGAGCGAGCCGAAGGCGAGTTCGGCATAAATCGTGCTTTCCATATGAAAGGGGTGCGCCGAATTCATGCCGAACTCGCCTACGGCTCGCTCGGCATTCGTAGGCGCAGTGTTAAATGGTGAAATTTTCTCTGCTTGAATTTGCGTCATAATCTGTACCAATGTCGAGCGAGCCGAAGGCGAGTTCGGCATAAATCGTGCTTTCCATATGAGAGGGGTGCGTCGGTTTTCTACCTCCATCTGCTACCTTCCCGACCCGTTACATACGCTCCTGCCAACTCAAGGGAGATCTTCTCTATTTCCCTCCTGTTCCCTCCTAACATTCTTCGTTCTCTCCTACCGTCTCCAGTACTCCTCCTCCTGTCCTCTACCACCCGTCTATGTCTTATCCTACCCCTTCTTACCCTTTCCTGTCCGGTCCCCCTTCAACCCTTTCCTGATTTGTTCTGTGGTCTCCTATCTTCGCCAGTTCGTCCATTGCTTCTTTTGTCCACTCTATGACCTCATCTTTCACTCTCCGCCTCTCTCTTGTATTTCCTTGTCTTCCCTACTCTCTCTTTCTCTTTCCTGCTCTCTCCTCCGTCTCCCGCTCGTTTCTATCGTCGTCTGTCACTCTCTACACACTCAACGCTTTCCTTTCTGGTCGTCTCCCCCCTTCAGTATTTTGCTGTTCCTTTCCTGGACTCTCTTACTCATTCAAGATCTCATTTCCTCCTCTCTTTACCTTCATTTACTGCCTTCTCCACTCCCTTTATGCCCCAGCACATACGCTCCTGCCAGCTGAAAGGAGATCTTCTCTATTCCTCCTCTCCTCTCCAAAGATTTGTCGTTCTCTTCTACCGTCTCCTATACTATCTATCTCCTGTTCTCTATCGACCGTCTATGTCTTATCCTACTCCATCTTGCCCTTTCCTGCTCTTTTCTGTCGTTTCGTATCTTCGCCAGTTCTGTCATGTCGTGTCCTTTTCTGACGTCTTGTTCTCTTTCGTAAACTCTTTCGCCTCATCTCGTACTCTCCACCTCTCTCTTGCATTTTCTTGAATTATTAACCCTACCTCTCCTTTCTCCTCCATCCCCTCCCACTCTTTCACGAGTGCTTTCTTACGCTTACGTCTAATTCTTGTTCTTTTAGTTTCTTCACGCCCCTTCCCTTTACATTTAATCCCTTCTCTTCCTTCAAATTTCCTTGTTGTTTTACTTCTCCACCATTCAAGTATTTTCTTCGTCCCTTTTCCTCCTTCAAACCACTTTCATGTTACCTTTATTCATCTTTCACATTTTTCATTGCGACTTCCTTTCTTCTTTACCCTTCTTCACGACTCAATCACGTCCTTCTCCTCAAAGCTTTCGTTCTTTACCCCTGATCAGCTTGTTGGCGATAAACGTGCGTGGGTTTTTCCCATTTCCAGAGCCCAAATAACGTAAATGCTGGTCTGCTATTGGTTTAGAGGGGACGCTGGTCACGGAGATTTCGTTGGTTCCCTTTTGGTCTTAGCATAAATAGCGAACCAAAAAGAAAAAGAGGGTTAGCGACTGAGAAGGCGTACATCTCGCCTGCGCCATTTTAATGGCAACAAGAGCGAAGATGGCTTAAAACAGTAAATAATTAGCAGACGAGTGGCCAACAATTCAGTTGTGAAACAAACGCTCGAGTTACAAGTAGAAATTGATTGGTTAACAAAACGGCGGTTAAGCAAAGGAGGATGACGGAAAAAATTCTGTTGTGCATCATAAAAACGATACAGGTTGACATGTGTTCTGCGAATCGGGATATTAACAGCTTTCCGAAACACCGAGTATCTATTTATAAACTCTTTTGCGAGTACGAACTGATCGTTGCATGAATGAACGGGAGTTAATCTGTTGCGGGCCGCATTTTTTCGATTGTCAACACTGTTGGAGTTTTTCTTTTTGTCTTGTAAAGGAGCTGTAATTACCAAAGAGCGCCGATATGGTCCTAGGGTAATTTTTCCAGCACGCAGGAACCTCTGGATCTTGAAGACGGAACTTCAGTTGGTGAACTCATTTTTCCAATGGAATAGTGCATTATGAATAAGATTATTAAAATTTCGACATAATTAGGTTAGCTGCAGAAGGTGATCACGTTACTTTATTTATTTATTTATTATCCCCCTCTTGTTCTGGGCCCTCAACAGGCTTGCGCCCCATTACAGAGTGACCCGCATAATGCCTTTAAGCGATTACATTCATTATGGATCATGGTGCGCAATCCTATATCGATTAGATCGCGCCTTGATGGCGACCTACGGCGCCCCGATGTCGCTATGGAACATTCGCAACACTGACATGTTCTCCCTTATCCTATCTTTTCCTATATTGCACTTTGTCCTGCCCAATATAGTGCTCCTTTGCTATTGACGATCTTCAGCTCTTTGCCGCCTTCTACTATTAACCTCTCCTGCTTGGCTCTTACTCTTTTGAACCCCCACAAATTTCCTTCTTTGGAGATATCGGGTCTGCTCAAACTCCGTATAAGGATACATCAATCAATAAATAGAAGATGTTCAACCTTGAAGGTAGAGCACTTAACGCCGTTTGTCACGGACGCTTGAAACTAATGGATGGAGATAGGCGTCCCATTTTCAAATTCTCTCGATAGTTGCCCGCTTCGGTTTTAAATTGTGTCATTGTAACGAAAGAGCTCTTATTACTAAACCATTAGTTGTGAACTGTCCCGAGACCGAAATGAACTCGAATCCAATTAAAT